AAGCTAAGCTAACTACTACTGTATGTCACAAATGGTGTGAGAAACAAGATTCAGAGAGGACCCACACACAGGCAGATTGTTTTGGACTTTTATTTTGAAGCCTTTTCCTGTGTCATGCTACCCTCAGCAGCTTCAGCTTGACTCTGCCCTAAATGACCTTAATTACTTACCTCTTGCTCATTGTCTCTACCTCATCTGCCCTTTATAATCACCTCACTTCCTTCAGTCATTTGTCAGTGTGTTGTCTATCCTCCATGCACATTTCCTGTTGGTTCTGGTCATCTCCTTTTCCCTGGTTTGTCATCCTGTCAAATCACCTTTTTATTCATCTCCTCCATCATTACCTGTTCTTGTATTTGATCTGTTGCTTGGTTAAAGGGCACTTGGCTAAGTTATTTTTACATTTAAGTTACTCATCTTTATACTGTATCTGCAGGGGGACTTGTTGCATTAAATCTTTTAATTTTTACATGATTGTCTCTCTTCCTGCATTTGGGTCCAAATCTGTTAGCTATTTATTACACAGATGTAGTAAAGGGGTAACTTTTTATAAAAGGATGAACAGACTTCCACAGTCCAAGCAAACCAAGTTTGAAATGTAAGGTAGGCAGTGATAAGCACAAGGCTGTGGTCAGTAACAGACAGGGAAGTGTCCCAAGCAAACAGGTAAAAAGTCAGAAAGGAGACACGAGGTAAATGTGTAATAGTAGCAGGTCCAAGGCAAGTGTGGCTCTAAAGCTGGGAATGCACAGTAGACAGAAGCATGTGGAGTTGGGCTAGTGTACATATACAATGAGAACTGTTAGGGCCATGACACACCAAGCCAACAGTCGGTTGTCTTCCTGGTGTGCCTCGCACCATTGGTACTAGTTGGACCCTGTTGGCGGCTTTTCTGGGGATTTGACATGATGAATTGGCATCGGCTAGTTGGGCCTTATTGGTAAAGGGGGACCACTGTAACTGGCTGTTCATCTTAGTGAATCAATGCATGAGAAGAGAACGGGTTGAAGAAAGCCCTTTCAGCCTGTCACTGTAATATCCATGATTTCACCCATTTAGTTTTTCACCTCCATGACCTCCAAAAGACAAAGGGCAGAGAACAGCAGTGCCATTTGCAACCTCTTATCAGACATATTTTTGATTTAAAAGCAGCTATAAACAACAGCTCTTGTGAACAAAAGCTACTTTGGGGGGGTGGATGTGTGCAGGTGACAGTACTGGGAAGTGAGAATATGAGTGAAGGCAGAGGCAGAACGAGCCAAATGAATCAAGTATCATCGTTAAACTCCTGCACATTGCCACTTTATACATAGGATGGGGTAAAGTCTGTGTCAGAACTCATAAATGCATGACCTCAGCACTGAACACAGTCACAAAGTATTGTAGTGGGTGCTCAAATGACAGGACTAAGCAATGGCAAACCAGTTCCCAGCTGGTTGACTGCCTGAGTATCCATTGGAATTTGTGATATAATGAACAATTTAAGTGCCCACCCATACAGATATTACACCAATCAAATAACATTACTGACATTGTCAGTCAGTTCTAATGAATAACTAATTGATCCTCTAGAGTAGGTTTCAAAAATGGCTCAGTAACCCAGCTTCAAGGGGACAATTTAAAAATAAGGGCTGCCAAGACAAATGGGCCTGTATTTATTTAATATTTAAAAATGCATAGAGTTCTGAGATAAACAGTTGAATGGTACAAGCAATATTAACACCAGTGTCTCCAAACATAAAGAGATTGTGACTGATTTTAGGAAGACTCAATCAACCATCAACTACAATCAAGCTGTAGAGGTTTTACAGCAGTATATGAGATTAAAAAGTACAGCATGATTGTTGGTTCAACTTTGAATGACATATCAAACTCATAAATTTAGGTCTTTCAAGAAGGCAGAGTTCATCTTGGCTGATCAAAGTCATCCTTTGTTTGCAGAGTTTAATTTGCTTACATCTGGTCACAGGTCTAAACAAAATGCAGGACAAACAGGTTTAAAAATTCTCTTATCCCAGCTCCCACTGGCTTCTTGAATACTGTCAGGTGACTAACTGTGCCCTTTTGGATGATGCTGTGGTGATTGTGTATGTACTACTGCCTTTTGAGGATAATGAAGGATTATCCATTGTAATCTAATCTAAAAGCTAATTTTATCAATAGGAAGAAAAGGAAAGCCTGAAAAACTCCAACAGATAAGTAAGTGTATTTTAGTTTCATATGCATAAAAGTGGTGGCATTTCTCAACTGCTGAATATGTCCTGCATAGAGAAATGTATATGGAATGATATGTAGTGACTATTCCATAAGCCTGTAAATGATGAGAAAAACCGGAGGGTTCATAGGGGTAATGCAGGCCTGTAGTTACAGTAATGGCATGCACATAGATAGATGTAAATGAAACATCAGCCTTTAAAATGAGGGCAGGTGCTTTCAAGCACAGCCTTTTGGGTTTGCCAGTACATTGGGCAGATATTGCTATTTTCTGAAAAGTCTAATATTGATCTATGGGACAGCACCCCATTCCCATTTTGCCTTGAGTGGATGGTTAACAGAAGAGAACCAGCAGTAATATGTGGGGAGAGAGAAAGATGACATGGGAGAAAAGTTTTCTTCTGTACCCAAACCCCAAGTTGAAGCCTTGAAATGATCCCTGTGCAACATTTTAATGAAGCCCTTGCCATCCATATCCTTGTAATGAGGTAGACTCTAGCAAAGCTGCAGCCGCAACACTTCTTCACTGCATCACAGACCCACAAAAACTTAGTTCTTATTCCAGTCATTTTGCCAGTTTTCTTCTGAGTGATTCCATCGTTTTAGATGGATTTATCAAGTGACTCAGGAAAGTGCGAAGAGCGAGGAGGGGACTGGGGAGGATAACCGATCAGGTGGTTTACCCTAATGAGCCCTGTCAACAGTATTCTGCCTATAAACAAATAGGGCTAACAATTGACAGTGGCACCACTCATCTCCATCTCTCTGGCAAACCACCCGTTGACACCGATTTGGACTCCAGGAAATGTGTTGCTCTGTCAGGAAAGCTTACCGCTGCCTTTTCTCTCTCTCAGTCTGTCTGTCCTCTCTCTCTCCTTTGTCTCTTCTCTAAAACACAGACTCACACTTTTAGGGCATCGTGGAAAGTCAGTCATTATTTTCTCTGCTCTATCTCTTCCCACATGTACACTGTCACTTGCCAGCTTTCTGCTGCTCAAAAAATTATGAATTATGCCCGTGTCTCACTGTCTACAGGGGCTTTGGTTAGGAAACACCAGCCCTAGAGCTGCTGCTTTGTTTATTACTCTTCTTAAATGTGGCCTTTTTTTTCTTCTCCAGGCCTGTCAGTCACAATTTAAACTATCCCGGTCACTGTATACACTGCAGTGAACCATATTGAGATGAATGGCCTAATTTGTATCAGCTTGTCACAAGCTGTCAACCATGTTTAGTGTGACAAAAAGGAAGAAGCCCACTTTTCGGTTGTTGTCATTTATACCCTGCACAGTGGAGACCGCCCGCCAAGAAATGTTCTCCATTTCTTAATTTTACCACGAACACCAGCATGAATCCATGGCTTTAGCCCTGCTGCCATTCACTCAGGTTTAATTGGTATTCATTTGGAAGTCTGCTCAGTGCGTTGCAAGCTGTGCAGCCACAGTATGAGTCTGTTTGACTTCAGTAAGAGCATGTCAGATTAAAGAGTTATTTATCAGAGAGACTGGATGCATAAGAGACAAAGAAGTCAGGGGTGGAAGGGTTTGGAATGGAAGCATGTAGGTATTGGTCTTTTGCAGTCCCAAGCACATTGCACATCTCTTGCCTTTAATCCGGCTGTGAGTATAACGACTACAGGCTGCAAAAGCCTCAAAGGAGTAGTGAAAAAACATGTGACAGGCCCTAAGCCCATGAGTCAGATTAAAAATGGGTACTGCATACCCATGTGAGGCTATATGACAGAGTGATGAACATTTCCAACTGAGGTCTGGCAGCATTTTGCCTAAGAGGATTTTTGAATACAGATTTTTTTTTCTTCTACTTTAACGCATTCAGCATAATGTGTTGTGGCTGTGTTTACATGCCTTTTGTGTTACATAATATGGTATATTGTCCTGTTGTACAAGTCTAAATATGCTGTTTGAAGCATAGTCCAAATTATGAATTGTAATTCTGCTATAGCTGATTTAGCATTCCTCTTGTTAGCAGCACTCAGTGCTCCAACCATACAGTAGAGGCCCCCAGGGGACAGTGATTCTGCCAATTTTCTTAGTGATGTCCTGAGAGCTCAGCAGAGAGGGAGAAGAATGCACTGAGTGTGTCAGCCTTTTTAAAGAATTTATGCATTGCTAATCCTGTAAGATCCATTGATCACTGACATTAGCCTGTAGACTTATTGAGGTATTGATTAAGGGCCCTTATTTAGAATGCTAGGCTTTCCCATTTCAATATTCTCTCTGAACTGTAATTCAGCACGTGCCTAAAGCACAGACCTAAGCCTGGTGTTTATGACCCAACTGAACCAGACTGGTACTACCAAATTTAAAACCCCCCTCCAAACCAAGACCTGAAGACACATTGTTAACCATCACGGGTGGCAGTGTTTGTCTGTCTACCACGTTAGTCCAAAGTAATACCTAAACAACTACTGAACAGACTAAGGTGAAAATTTGTACAGACATCCATTGCCCCCAGAGGGTCAACTTTATTGATTTTGGTCAGTAGCAGGTTGACACTTTTGCCTTATGCTGAAATATTTCTACAAGTATAGATCCATGGAAACCTGGCACATACTAAGTTTGTATTTTCTTCTGAAATACTAAATACCCAATATAAAATATGTTGTCAGGATCCACTGAACTACAGTATCTAATAACCTGACCTGAAAACTAATTGGTGGGGACCCATTGGATTAAAGTTGTGTGCCAGTTTATAATCCCAGTCTATAAGACCTGTAACACATTTTGTTTATATATTTGCTAACTAGCTTATCTTCTTTGCTGTCACAGGACTGAAGGTACGTGACGTGATGATCAATGTGTCCCGTCAGCAAGTGGAGGATTTCCATGGCCCAGAGGACTACTGGTGTCTCTGTGTGGCCTGGAGCCACCTGGGCACCTCCAAGAGTCGCAAGGCCACTGTTCGTATTGCCTGTGAGTATGAAAATACCTTTAGGCTCATGTACTGGTTAATGTGGACCTGTAGCTCTACAGCTATGATCCCTGATATGACCTTCCATGTTGTGGAGAGGCAGGTATCAGTAATTTAGCAGCTGTTACAAAGGTTATTGTAGCTGCATTTCACAATATGCACAACTGAAACACAAGGAAACAGGGTCAGTGAACAGTTAAAACTGAATAGTCTGATGAGATGGATGCATTTCAAGATTAGACTGGAACAGGGTTCTTGGCCTTGTTGTTGACATTGTCAAGTTGTGGCTTTCAAAGACCTGGTTTAGTTGACCTAAACAAACTCTTCATTTTAAAAGGTCAAAACAAATCTGCCAGTGTCAGTGTAGGTGAAACATGTAGTTGAGGCACATGTATAGGTACTGTGCGCCATCAAGGGCTGGGATTGGCCAACCTTGAACTATGGGATAAGATTTTAAACAATTCCGATTGATCAAAAATAAAGAAAATGAATAAAAATAATTTAAAACAAAACAAGTTGGAATATTTTCCGTTTTTCTTTAACTGATCATTTGATCAGATCTTTGACTGTCACTTTTTCTATTTTTGTCCTCACTGAAGGTCCATGTCATGTGGATGAGTCGATGTCTCATTCATTTTTGGCATACACCTTGATGTCATCCATGTAGAGGAGATGGCTGATGGTAGCTCCACTCTTGAACTTATTTCCATATTCACATCTTGTGATTATCTGACTGAGGGGGTTCAGGCCTATGTAGAACAGCAGCAGAGATAGTGTATCACCTTAGAATATGCCACACTTGATGGTCACTTGTGCGATTGGTCCAGGGTTGACCTCCAGGTTGTTCTCCACAGTCTTATTGAGTTCTTGATCCTTAATGTCCTGTTGACTTTGTATAGTGCCATGCATTCCCAGATCCATGTGTGTGGTACTGAGTTGTAGGCTTTCCTGTAGTCTGTCCTGGCTTTACTCAGGTTGGTCTGTCTGGATCTTGAGTAATTGGTGACTGCTCTGTTTATCATCAACTGGTGTTTTGAGCCTCTGGTGCTTTTCCCAGTGCCCTTCTGACCTGTGCTCATGTACTAGTTAATGTGGACCTGTAGCTCTGCAGCTATGATCCCTGATAGGACCTTCCATGTTGTGGAGAGGCAGGTTATTGGTTGATAGTTGAATGGTGCTGTTCTCTTGTGAGGATCTTTGGATCATGTTTGGATCAGGTGCTGTCCAGCTCTTCATGTTCTTGACTCACTGTTGGATGTCTGCTACAGCGATGGTGACTGCTTCCTGTTCTGGGAGATTCCTGTGGTCTGCTCTCAGGTCCTGCAGCCACTGGACACTGGTATTATGTGTCTTCTCTTCCTCCCATAAATGCCTCTAGTACTGTTCAGTATCTGCTTTCAGTGGCTCTGCTCAGACAGTGTTGTTGCACTGTAGCTACTATAGCTGGGAGTACGCCTTGAATGGTTCTTTGGAGAACAGGGCATTTACCCTTTTAACCTCTGTTTCTTTGATGTATCTCTTTAACCTTCTTGCAAGTGCTGTGAGCCTTTGTTTAGCAGTTATCATCAGATTGTCCTGGTTCTCCAACATCTGACACAGATTTTCTTGATCCGGGTAATGTCTGCGCCGGCATGACTCTATTATTTTGCATCTCTCTCATATCAGAGTTAGGCAGAGTTAATTGTAATGATGTCTTGCCTAAGGATGCCTACTGGAGGTAGACCACAGCTGGGATTTGAACCCCGGCCTCTATCTATCTATCTATCCATCTATCTATCTATCTATCTATGTCATATCTATATATCCTATCATATCATTACTGTGTCTATCTATGAAATATAGATAGACATAGCTTTTTTTTATGCCAAGTCAGATATTGCATGGTTGTTGACTGAATACAGAAGGATTAGCTGGTGTTTATAGTGAAGCTATAAAAACCGAAACTAATTTAAAGTTTTTTTTCTGCTACAGTATACACATAAATGCCATGGACTCTTGCTTTAAGAAGGAAATCCAAAAGAATGGATTCCATGGTGTCATGTTCTAATATCATTTTATACTGTACATTCATGAAACTGTAATTTTCTGCTTCTGTTATATGCTAATGGGGACATTACCCGTATGTGCAACACATGCTGCGACAACCAACATTAACCTTCTAGTTTTGTCTTTCACTTCTAAATTAAGACAGAAAATGTCTTGCCCTGCACCATAGCTTGCAAAATGAACTGCCAAACATCTAGCAAGGGACAACTACACAGCTAATGTCAGTTTGCAGGCTACATACAGTATGTAATTAGTTTGTAAGCTTTAACACAATAACCAGCTTAAATACCTGCTAATATCAATGTTGGTTAAAATGCTAAACTGCTAACAGAACATATAGTCTGTCCTTACCGTTACAGCTATCAGAGTTTCTTTACTTCATTTCCTCTTGCCTTTGGCAATGGCTCAACATGTCTATAGCTCTATCAGTCTCAATCAAACAAATCTAATCACTAATTGTAATTTTAGTTGGAACTCAGGTGTGCTTGTCTGTCCAGAAACCAATTTACAACATCTGGCTTTAAGAGACTGAATCTAAAAGATAAATATAAGAATATGTTTTTTTAAATCCTTTTTTGGTCTGGTCCAAATTGTGTGAGCATACCAAGATAGTATAATCTTAACAAAAGTGGCATCAAGTTTATCAGTGGTGAAATGATCAATTTCCAGAAACAAATGCTGTCTAATCAAATGTGACACAATCAGCTATTATCAGCCATGGTTGCCTAAGAACTAAAGACAAAAGCCCTCCTCTGAATCACTCATTTTTAAATATCAGTCTTTTTTGTCTTTTGAAGAATGTAAGAATCTGAGCTCACAGATGATTACTGTATGCTATTTTAAAATCTATATCTGCTGAGATTTGCATATTTATTGTGTGCATGTACTTTGCACTTACCTACATGTCAGCTAAACTGGGGTTTTGAGCCACTATTATATACTTTCCTTCCTGTATATAGAGAATCTTTTAGGATCCTAGGGCACATAAAATCTATGTTGAAATTTCAAGGGCACTTTCCTGCTGTCCAAAAAGGCTAACTTCTGAAAAATTGTCCATGGATACCTATAGCACAGTATGCTATCAAAGGCACTTTTAATTTTGGGCAACACCCAGGATGAACAGAGCAGCTACCTTCCTCTACCCAATACGTCCTTCAAACCACCTTTCCAACACATTACACAGCACAGGGCCATTGGATGCTCTCTAACCTGCTGTATATGGGCTGTAGTGGGTTTTGAAGGTCATGGCTTGCAGAGTTGGGGGCAGGCCAGTGCGTTAGCTGCTGAAGAGGATTGAGGCAGGCTGACCATAACACTTGACACCTGACAGCTGCCTCTTATCTCCCCACACAGACCTGAGGAAAAACTTTGAGCAGGACCCCCAGGGGAAGGAGGTGCCAATCAACGGGATGATCGTTCTGCACTGTCGCCCCCCGGAGGGAGTGCCTGTGGCAGAGGTAAGACCAGCTGCTCCTCACTCCTCACTTCTTGAAAAAGGAGAAGCTTATACTCCCACTGAGCAGGGAAGATCTGCATCAGAGTGGTCATCCTCAGTGAGCTGGGGTAACTCTCTCACACACACACAGTCAGCTTTACCTTCAGCTCTGCTTCTCTGACCTTTAAGAGATTGATACAGTCGTGGTGGATACCAGTAGTGAGTGCACGTAAATGTTTAGAAATGAAGGTACTCATTCCAAAATGAGGTAGCATCAGAGATTAAGGGAATTCAGAGCATATGTTTTAATCTAAAACCATATCAATAAAATGTATCAATGAAGGCAGGCTTCATATGCAAAGAAATTCTCATGGTGTCTCATCTCCTGAGTTCATGCTGTGAGAAAACACCTGGCTTAAAGTGGGTCAAGTCCCAAAGTGAATGGTCCGATTACAGGGAGTGGGTGTGGTGGGATGTTTGTCTTTCTCTTACTGCATTTTGTACTTTGATCCATCAGCAGCTCCTATTGTGTGTTGGTGAAGGCATAAAAGTTCTGAATAGGAATCTCATCATTCTGTCTTTGTGAAACTCTAATCCAGATCTGTAAACATCTATGATGTCATTACATCTATGATATTATCCTTGAAAGACGGCACATTTTTTTCTGTAGTTTCAAATCACAGTTGCACAGGTTTTTTTCCTGCTGTTAATCATATATGGAATGATATTTACATTTATTATGAGAAACATGATTATTATTATCTGCCTCTATACAAGACTCATTCAGGATGCTAAACATCTGTATTCATGCTGTTTTGTCTTTGACATTTTCTCACCCACAAATCTGTCATTTCCATACCGACCAAATTACTGTTGATTTTTACCCTAGTTTGATTTACGGCTGCCAACATTCTGCTGCATTTATCACTCAGCTGGCTTTCACTTCTACAGTGCAGTAGAAGATAAGAGTGACAATATAATTCACCCTTTGTCAAGACAATATCAATTTGTCTGTCATCAGAGGAATATAAGGTATTTATTGCCAAAAACAGACATTCCTGTAGATTTATTTTATCCAGTGAATTACATTGGTTTCTCAGCTGAAGTAATCATGTTATTATTATTATTACTACAGTATATATTTACTATATAAAACTACGAAATACTGTGATATGAGTATTTGATCTTTGTATTTGATCCATAAATCTTGCTCCTCATCTTCTGCAATTCCAGGGTCAGACTTTCACTTTTTTTTCAGCATGCACATGATCGTTGCGTTTTTGTCACTGTATATATATCTTATATACATCTTATCATATCTATCTTAAAGATAGATAGTCAGTTAAAAAAAAACTAAGATACAAGATATAGTATTTTGGGTTGATGATGTCTGCATGTATCTCAGTTGAACAAGTCCTCTAACCCAGTAGTTCCCAATCTTTTCCTAAAGAAACCTTTGTTTTAGCATTGAGTACAATATGCTGACGACCTCCCTAATGGCCTGGTGGCTAGGATCCAGCACTCTCACTGCTGTGGCCCACGTTCAGTTCCCTGTCAGGGAACATCTAGCCACATGGGTTTCACGCCAGTGACTTCTGTGCTGGTCCTAAGCCCAGATAAATAGAGAGGATTGCGTCAGGAAGGGCATCCGGCATAAAAACATGCCACATTTTGAACCATGCGAATTGTCAGTGTGGAAACAGATGATTCGCTGTGGCGACCCCTAATGGGACAAGCCGAAAGTGGAGGAGGAGGACAGTATGCTGACGACCCCACCCCCTCAACCACACACATAATTGCAAATAGAATATTTCTCTTCAAATGTTTTTTATTGATATTTCACTATTTAACGTAAAACATTGTACAATGAACCCCATCAGTGAACATAATCTATTAAGTTTGTGTATGCCTAGTAATTTTTTGGTTACAGTTTGAATAGATTATTTCCTTTGTATACTGCAATATATCAAATGATTATCCTTGGCTTCTATTAGTTGTTATAGAATTCTATATCTGTATCATATAGATTTTTTTTTCACTATCATACATACTGTACTTAAAAGGTGTCCGTGCAGCCTGAGAGAGCTCTGAGCCTGTGATGCTTGAGTAGTGGGATGTCAGGTGTGTCTTTGGTGACAGCCAAACTTGTTGTGTTGCATGCTTTTGATTAGGTGGTAACCAGAATGCTGAAAGCATGGTTGCAATAATAAATGGCTGTGAAATGCTCTGGGGATTTAAAAATAATCACACATGAAGTGAACACCAGTCTCCTGTGAGAAATACCTGTGTTTTCTGATCATCCATTTAATCCTAACATGGACTTTCGAGCTCTATACAAAAATACAAGTAAAACTAACCAACTAACTTGCTTATTTGCTCCTGTTATAATTACTACAGTCACCAGAGGCCGCATGACTATAATATGCTACTGTTGGTTGTAATAAGCTGCCAGCACAAACAAAATTTGGACTTTTTATTTATGTATTTCTTACAGGAGGACAAACTCCTCAGCTTCTAGTGCTAACCTGGGCATGTTGATTTGCCTAAATATTTTAACTACTGGATAATGGAGAAACATTTTTGTCTGGGCGGGCGAAAATGATTTAAATTCAGAGTAGAATGTAAGTAACATTTGACTTTTCACAACATTTCACTGTTGTCTCATCAGCACTGTTGTGACAAAAATGACAGATTTGAGCTGAAATTCCACATCATTAAAAACTAAAACTTAAAAATGTATATTTTATAATTCATTATTCAGTCACATAATGTTTTCATACAGCATCCATGAGAAAAAAAAATGCTCTGGTTCCAGCATCTCTGTTTTGAATGTTGGAAATATTTTCAGTTTTCCTTAGTGTTCTGTCCTAGTAAACCAAATAGCGAATTGGCCAGCCAAATCAAGCAGTTTTAATTAGGTGTTTTATTTTCTGACATTATACCAAACAATTACTTGATTTATTGAAGAAATAATGATGAATAATCAGTACAGAAATAACTGTTAATTGCAGTTGTAATTTGTAACAATTGGTTCTATTAAGAATGGGAAGTAATTGCCTATTGACATTTAAGCATAATTTAACCTACTCCTCAAAAGATAACAGAAAGAAAGAAGGAAATAAAGAAAGAAAAATAAAAAGAGAGGGTGACAATGAGAAGGAAACCACAAGTGAGTGGGCAAGGTGATGATGGAGCATGCATATGGGTAGGAGTAGACTTGTTTGGCAGTGTAATTCTGTGCTTTATCAGTGAAGTGTAAGGAACCACACTGCAGACAGCATAATCTGACAGCTGTCTCATATGAATGGGTCCTTAGCAGGTTGAATGCACACCCAGAAGAATGCACAGATGTATAGCAGGGGTACTGAAAAAGACAACTATAACTGGAATACGAATATGCATGTAAACACAGTCACTGTTAAAAAGAATACTTATTGTACTGTTCTTGTATCAAGACAATCTGTGTAGGCTTGTTTAGGGTGAAGTCTGAGTTTTCAACTACTGTTTTTATGCACAACAATACAGTATTTAACAGTTGTTCGACCTCCCAAAGAGCAGTTCATTGTGATTTGTAGTTGTGATTGCTCTCACTGTGGCCTGGTGGCAACTTAGACAGTGACTCTCCAGGAGACAAAACTGATGTTTTTCCCAGATCAACCTGCAAGGCTGACTTGTGGGGCAAATATAGCATTTAAATGTCTCAGTGGAAAATGTCACCAAGTGCACATTCTTCTCCACATACAGACCGCCTGGTTCCGTATTTGGTCTGGTGATAATCAGCATGAACAATAGATGTGTAATGGATGTGTGCAGGGAGCAGATTCAGGTGGAGGTCAACCTCCGGCCCTGCACTATATAAATGATTCAATGTGGAAATGGGGGAGTGATGTCATTTGAGCACTGCAGAATCCACAGTGGGGACAGAAATAGTTGAATCTGAGTAATACAGACTGAATCACAATCTCCCATCTAGTCCTTTGTCAACACACATGAGCCCAGCCACAAGAGATGGGAGTGAATAATGTAGACAGCACAGGGCAGATATCCTCAGCCCAGTCTATTTCCGCACACCTCGTCCATGAAATATTGAGATGGTGTCCACAAGTGAGGTAGTGTGAGGTTTCAGAATGCAGCTGCAGAATTGGATGCTACTAAAGAAAACACAGCTAACGCAATAGAATGTGAGCCTGCAGTTTGGAGCGCAGCGTAAACACTTCACCTCTGAAAGATGTCAGGGTACGCTAATGAGTTTCCAGTCACTCACATGGGAATGATTTTGTATCTGTTGGTTACAACAGTTTATTTAAACAAGAGGCTGACACTGAGCAGGAATATGTCCTCGACTCTGGAGGTATTTATTTGCATGAGGAAAGTGCCAGCAGATCTACTTCTGTGATTTATCCATTATTTCCATCCAATTATTTGTCCCATTATACTCTAGCAACACTTGACATGTTTTTCTCATACCTGTTTCAATTTCCATTCTATTTTGTCAAAGTTAGTATCAACATAAACTGGATATGAGATTGTCAGCACTTGCTTTTTTGTAGTTGGATGGAGACTTGAGAACACCTTCTCTAACTTCCCAATTTGTTTGTTTCTCACTCAAATGATTATTCAGTTATCAAAGTAGTTCATTAAAGTTAATAGGTGTAGTATGTTTATGCCACATTTCAATCCTGCCTTCCGGCAAGAGTGGTGTCAAACAGTCAACTTGCTCGAAGCACAGGTCTGCATGATTTGTAGTAAATGTTGCCTCCCTTACAACCCATGGATAACCATAACACTCGTCTCTGCATTGAGACATTTACATTGTCAGCAAAACATAATTCCAGTGTTATACAATTTGCAACATTGTCTTACTGTAAATGTCAACAAAATCCTTACATATTTAAATAAATGTGTTAATGAAGCATAAAATATCATTACTGTTTGTTCATCTTATGAACATCAAACATCCTACTTCTTCTTTATTGTTCTCAGCTGTGTACTGTGTATTTGATTACTTGGAACGAGGTAATA